AGCTTGTTAATATCTCAAAGAGGAAAACAGAAGCAGGTAGCTCCTTTATGTCTCTCTGTTCCTGTAACTTAGCATCTAAAAGGAGATGAGAGGGGGCTACCTGCTCTGGCTCTTCAGCTTTTACTTCCTTGTTCCATTGTCAGAGTCTGGCCCTTTAAATACTTATTAAAATAATGTAATTTCCATGCCTTCTCATCTGTCTCTCCTGCCTCATTCCCCCCTAAATGACTTTGGTCCCCTTTAATCTTAAAAGGGGTGCAGAGGGGTGACTCCATTCCTCTATAGCTGCTTCCTGCTGAGTTTGGGTGCTAGCCATACCTAGAAAGGGAACCAAAAAGTTATTTCCCCATCTTAAATTTAGAAGGAGACAAGGGAACTTTTCTTGGCAGAAATTTAGTTGACTGGTTTTCAGGATCAGGACCAGGAGACATCAAATTATTTTTTTTCAGGGCCATAATTGTATGGACTATATTCTCATCCAACTAACAGTACAATAGCTTTGTTTCCACCATCATCATCATAAACACATGTAATGCTTTGCACTCTAACGTTCCTATCACTGGTGATAGGAATTTTTCAGCTCCCTTTGTAGTTGTCTAGAATCTCATCATCATACAATATTATGTTGTCTGAAATGTTATTATGCATTTAGTGAACAATTGGGTAGTAGAATAAAAATATACCATTTATATTATCAAAAATTCTGACATATCTAGGGATAAATGTAACATTTTATGTGTAAATCCAGCATGATAATGAACATTATAAAACACTGCTGAGAAAACTTAAATAGAGAAATATACCATGTTCATAGATTAGAAGACTCAATTTTGTTAAGATGTTTGCTCTCTCCAGATTATTCAGTAGATTCAGTGTAATGCTTAGCAGGGTTTTGGGTTTTTTTTTTTTTTTTTTTGGTAGAAATTGATAAATTGGTTTTAGAATTTATATGACACTGTTAAGGACCTATAATTACCCAAACACTTTTGTAAAAGAACAAAATTGGAGAACTTAGTCAAATTAATTTAAAATGTTATTAGAAAGCTATAGTAACCAATTTATATAAATAAATGAAGCAGTATAGAAAATCCAGAAGTGGATCCACACTTACATGGTCAATTGATTTTTTTTTCCCAAAGGTGTCAAGATAATTCAATGGTAAAAAGGATAATTCTTTTCAACAAATGTTGGTGAAAGAATTGAATATTCACTGTGCATGGTGGTATAAACCTATAATCCTAGTACTTGAGAGACTGAGGCAGGAGGATCATGAGTTTGAGGCCAGCCTTAGCTGCATAGTGAGACCCTGTTGCAAAAATTTTTAAAAAGGAAGGAGAGAAGGAAGGGGGGAGAATTGAATATCCATATGGAAAATAATGAACATTGACCCTTCGAACTGTTGGAATTAAAGACCCTTTGGTGCCAAAAATAGACACACAAGAGACAGAGAAAATCTTGACAAGGCAATTTCTTTTGATCAAAAGGGTGCAGGTGTGTATTCACTTCAGCTGAGCGGACACGTGAGCACAAAATGGTTGACAGTGGCTTCTCTTTATAACTCTGACGAAGTTGTACCTGCCCCTTATATGGGATTTGTCCATGTCAAAGGTTCACAGTCTTTCTCGATTGGCTAAAAGGCTTGGGGATGGATTAAGGCATGTAATTTGGCGGGCAATTTTCATGGGCAATGGGGCTGTATAAGAATCTGGAAGAAAAGAAACAGGAACCCTTTAAACAATGCAAGTCATTAAGATGGCGACCTGAGGAATTTTAAGTAATCTAAGAGGGTGACATATACTTTGATAGAAAAGATTGTTTTTCTTACAGCGTCACTAACTTAATGTAAATGAAAACAATTGAACTTCTAGAAGAAAATGTAGGATAAAATCTTTGTGAGTTTGGGGATAGGCAAATATTTCTTAGGACAAATACCCACTTGCCACAAATAATTATAAATTGCACTTTTATCCAAATGATTATCTTCTGTCTTGGAAAGACAAAGTTATGAAGCCTGAGTGTGAGACAACTGGAACCTACCTGCCTGGCTGGTGGAAGTGTATAGCGATATAACTACTTGACAGATTCTTATGACTCAGTAATTCTATTCCTAGGGATTTACTTACTCAAGACTTATGAAAATATACATCCATGTAAAGACTTCCATAAGAATGAAGCCTTTTGGGTTTATAGCAACTTTTTCACAATAGCCCCAAACCAGAAATAACCTAATACCAGTTAATAGGTAGACAGGTAAACAGTGTGCTATATCTACACCCAAGATACTGCTCCACAACAAAGGAAACATTTCTAACTGCAACAACATGGATGGATCTCACAGAAACTGTGTTGAACAAAAGAAAATAGACACACACAAAAGTATACACTGTATGACTCCATCTCTGTGAAGCCCTAGAATAAACCAAGAACTAATATATAATAATAGCTTAATGGCTGCCTGAGGTCTGGGGGCAGGATGGGAGAATTGACTCTGTAAAGGTTCTGAGAACTTTTGGGAGGGAGTAGTTACATGACTGCATAGGTTTATGTAAACTCCTCAAATGTACACTTAAAATGGGTGTATTCATTTATTATGTGAGAATTATACCTAGATAATGTTAATTTTTTAAAAAATGAAATAGTTACTGATCCAGTACTAAAAACTGCCTCCTGATTTCTGATAGTATTTTTTTTTAAACCACCCCTCCCAAAATGATGTTGACTTTTTTTTCCTCTCCTTAGTCTCCCATGGGATTGAGTCATGCAGTGTGGGAGGCAAAGCAGGAATGAGCACTGACTGAGATTTGAGCCTGGGTATCCAGGAGCAGGTTTGAAAGGAAGATGAATGGTTTGGTTTTAGACACACTGAGCCTTGGCTCAGGACTTTATGCTTCCTGGTTGGTTTTGTTTTGTCCTGTTGAGCCAAGATGGAGTCATCTCAGGAGAAAGGTCCAGCTGACCTTGGAGTAGAGGGAAGCAGAGCTGGGACACAGAATCAGAGAAATTGTCAGAGCCATAAAAACCAAAGGAAATCAGTTTTGTGGATGCCATGCCAGATAAGCTTTTTCAACAAAGAATGGGGTGGGTAGAAATACCTAGGAGGGGTGGACCTCTTTGTTCTTGGTAACAGTGAATATTGGACCCATGACTGGGAAGTCAGCGTGGGTCCAAATGTTCCTGCTTAGTTACTAGTGACTTTGGACAATTTACTCAATGTCATTTAAACCCAGTCTTCTAAGAAGGTATTTTTTAAGATAGTTTTCATCTGAGATTCATTGTGACCATCAAGGAAAATGTATGTAAAGAACCTGAATAAAGCTATTATTAACACATATCACTGTCATCAATCTTTTTCCTAGCTAATATTAAATTTTGTGTGTGTGTGTGTGTGTGTGTGTGTGTGTGTGTGTGTGAATGTACTATAGGATTTACACAGGTTATCTCATTTCATGTTCAAAATAGTCCTCTACGAGAAACCCTCCCTTTACACAAAAGGAGGCAGGTTTCTAGTGGGAGGTGGCTTCCCAAGGTAACAACACATACTAGGGTACACATAAGCCCAGGCAAATAGCACAGTCTGTGTCTCCCACCTCCTCAAAGAGAGGATTTCCAAGGGGATGGGAGAGGCCCATCCAGGGGACTTTGGGAGTGGGAATTCATTTGGGAAATTTGGAAGTAGGAGCAAGAGAGTTAATAGCAGAGACAGGATTTCTTGACAGATTTAAGCACTGAGCTTTTCTGGAGAGACTGGCTCAGATGGTGAGTGGAACTTCTTAAAAGCCACTCAACAGCATGCATTTATTGAGTGACTGCTGTGTGCTCTTAAAATTCCTTATTTATGCATAGAGTAGAACACTGTCTGCAGAGAAATGGAGTTAGTCTTATGGGCCTTCCTTCTACAGTGGACTATTTGTCTAGGTAGTCCTGGCTCCAGGAGAGCAGGTGTTCCCAAATTTCTGATTAATGTCACATGCAGTTGTCCTTCCAGTAACACAGCCTCTGGAGATGTGGACAAAGGTCCATCTAGTCCCCTCTGTGTCCTGCCTTATCTTGTCCACCTTGTAAACCACAAGCTAAAATGGGGAGGAAATGCACCAAGCCTAAGCCTGAGAATTCCACCCCTCTCCCATACAAACGGTTTAACAGACTGCAGAAAACCACCCCTAAATAAGCAATTTCCTCTCCCTTGAAATTGGGGGGAGGAAGGGAAAGCAGTGTTTTGTGTAGCACACAGATGGTGAGTTTGCATTGGCCTTAGGCTTTCCAGTGGTCATAAAGACGACTCCTGCATGGTCATAAAGGAGGCCGGCATAGGAGGGCTGCCCTTGCTAAGTGCACAGGAAGAAGAAACTCCACTAGTGAAAAGTGCTACAGAGGAAATCTGGGTTTAATGACATTGTGTAGAAAGCTAGGAGGATTGTGAGGAGAGGAAGTATAATTTATAAGAGGTGGAACTTTTATCCCCATAAAGGGCCAGGTTGATCCCACTGTAAATCTGAATTATATTGATAATACATTAAAAGACAGCTGTATCTGTACTTTTATGCTCTACTAATCCCACCAGAGCAGCACTAAGTAGTTAATAAGATTTTTTCCCCTGAATATATGCAATGAACTTCATTGGCACCTGCCTTTAGTTTTTAATTTTTTCCCTTAGGATTTCCATTTTAATTTTAGAAAGGAAATATTTCATTGATAATTTTGAGCTAAAATTATCCAGAGAAATTTAAGATCGCTTAGCATGTTAGTTCACTAAATTTTCAAAAATTACCTTTTCTATAGAGTTGTTTCTATAATTTGAGGGTTTTCTTAAATCTCTGCTCATTTAATGGTAGGATGACTTCTTACATTTTTAAAAGATGTCTTATGTAGGTTCTCAGGTTTATGAGTTTTTTAAGAATATAAACTACTGTGGAATTTTTTTAAGTTGTTAATTTGTATATGATATTACGTTATGAGTTTTGTTCATTTGTTTAACTCACAGTGCTTTTAATTTAATCCAGAAATAGGCAACAAGAAATATTACAAGTATAGCAAAGAGAAGACATTAAAGTGGCTGGAAAAAAAGGTATAGTAACCTCTCTAGTGCCTTATAGTTAAAAATAATAATAATGTTGCTTCTTTAAAAAATCTTTAGACAAGGCAGTAAGACTGGATCCCAAGACCATCCTGCATATCCAGCCAAAAGAGGAAAACTATAGAGAGAGATCCAAAATTGAGGAGAAACTTGGTGTTTTCTTTTAACTTATATCATCCTTTCTCCCTGGTTCTACCAATGAATGCAAAGATTCCTTGCAGTTAGTTAGTGTAGATTTGAGCCTCCCAAGCTCTTCACTGCAGTTAACCTGCAGGTGTCTCCAGGGTGATGCTCACGCAGTCAGGCAAGAGAGGGAGTGCAGCAGGCATTCAAGCTTGGAGGAGGTATGTCCATTCTAAGTGTCTCCATGCTGAAGAGGGGTCATATTCTAGGCGAAAACCATGCATATTTGTCTTACCATGTTATTGAGCACATTAGGAGTCTGGAAATGTGGAAATGAACCCTATAGAGTTAGATTCTTAACATACAAAATAGTGAAAATGTTTAAAAAGTGCCATCATGTTCCACTTCTGATGTGCTATGTGGTAGCAGTATTCTATGCAAGTAAAGCACTGAGCAAACTCTCAGCATTTTACATTTGCTCTTAGCAAATGATAATGACATGACTATTGATTGTGTTTCCCAAGGCATGGGAAATATATATATTTTTTATATATAAACTTTGTGCCAGGCTCTGTTCTAAAGGCTTTACATGTATTAACTCATTGAGTCCTCACAGGAGTTCTATGAGATAGGTACTGTTTATTCTGACCATTTTATAGATAGAGGCACAGTGAGGTCAAGTAACTGGCCCATGGTCACAAAGCCCCATGGTCACTGTTCTCAGTCACCACAGTATGCACCTCATCTTGCCAAGGGGTCAGAAAGTCCATGTACTGGGATCACCAGAAATCCTCCTACCACTCAACCTCTCTCCAAATGTAGGGCCATCTCATTCTCTGATACCTGGGGAAGATATTTCTATGTTCTCACGTACTTCTTCCCAGATCTTCAATGGATCAAGGGCAGCCTGGAAAGTCATAGAGTCCTAAAGTTAAGTTGCAAATACCCTGACTTTACCTCTTGTGGTTGCCTCTTAGGTTAATCAGACTGTGGCAGCTTTAAAATCCAATAATGTCAATGTTGGTGCCCGGGTCCAGTCAGCTGCGTTTTTCCCTGGTGACCAGGTTTCCAATGATAAGGAAGGTAAGTAAATCATTTCATCAGAAATAACTTTTGTTTGGAGTAAGTTGCTTCTGTGCAAATGCTTATCTAAGGATTTGAAAATCTTCCTGTCACAGAAGCTTCATATTCTTGCCAATGTGCTTATAGATATTGGGACATTACTGTTTCTACCCTAGATTACTTTTATTGCTAATTGGTGCTTGAATCATGTATTCAGCAAATAGTTATTTTACACTAATAATAATCCTCAGGACCCTGGCTGTCATTTATTGAGCAGGTATGATACACAAAGCCCTTAGCTAAGTTAACATATAACAGACATTTTCTTATCCAAACCTCCAGGAAGTCTCAGGAGAGTCAAGGCTCTGCCCAGAGTGACTCAGCTAGCTAGTGGTGGAGTCAAGCTGCAGGTGGAGCTTGTCCCACTCTCAGGCCCACACTCTTTACCCTGTCATTGGGCTCTTCCCCTGGCACAGGGTTTCCAGTGGGCTGTATCTCGCACTGTTAAAAAGGAACTTTATTTTTTCTTTTTCAGTATACTATCCTTTTATTTTTATATATATGGTGAAATAAAAAGTTATATCATGCAATTAACATTCTCAAATAGTGGGATAGACATTATTATGACTTTCAGTTCTAATTCAAGCTGAATTTAAGCTTCTAATTCCCTAGTTCAGGGTATGTAACTCCCAATATCTGACTTCAGTTATTAGAATAATAAACACAAACACAAAAAATAGACATGAGAAGAGGTGGCCTGCTTGTGAGTCATTGTAATGCAGGTGGTCTTTGGTTTGCAGAAATTTATGTTTACAACACCTTGCTTGTAGAAGTAGCTGACTACTGGGAGAGGTAGGTGACATGCTTGCTGTGCTGAATTCCCAGCAGCCAGTGTCTTTAATGGCTTAAGAGAAGGAAGGATTTAGTAAAATGGGTGGATCGATAAAACTATAGAATTTTCTTTAAGTAGTTGAGTAAAAAGATTTAGACAGATCTTCTTACTTTAAGGGTGGAAAACTGTGGTCTCAGAGATAGATGACTTATCCTAGCTGATAAGCAAGGTCTTCTGCTCTGACTCCAGTGCTTCTGTCAAGATTCCCCATCTCAGGCTTTGGACTGGGCTTTACTGCCATTTAGTGTCCAACTCATAAAATAATCTGTGCACACTTTACACTATTCCTTTTTTAGGTCTTTAGCTTGGTATGGTACCAGAAGCAGCAAATGAACTGCATATTGGCTTTCTTAAGGTAGTTTTCTTTGTCCTCTTCATGACCCACTGGATAGTCACTAGGCCAGATTCATGAGTATATTTAAGAAGGATCCAGTGGTAACTTTGAGTTCCACATTGACAGTGAAAATCTTCTACTGAAGACCTTTTGAATTCAGGTGGTCATCAGGCGGCAATCATTTTCTAAGTAGTGCTGAGACGCATTGCTACTTGAGCTTGAAGGCAGAAGAGGAAGGCAAAAGCGAGCGAACATTCCAGCAGCAAAACTGGCATCTGGTTTTGGCAGATCATCACTGGTGGTTAGCCCATCCTATGGTTAAGTTTGATTGTCCCCTATATTCCTTACACAGTGCTGAATTAAGAAATGACATTTGAAAACAGATTTTATTGTCTGTGTAACTGTACTTAATTGATATCAGAGCTGCATGTTAGTGCTGAGGGTCCCAATGCTGAAAAATTAATGCTTATACGTTGTGCTGAGTAAGTTGTTTTTCTTTTTGAAAAGGCATTTTATTAGTTTGTGAGTATATATAATCTTCGAGGCTCTTATAAAACAAATACCTAGTAGAAGTCATATAAATGATTTTAACATAATATTTTGTTTTATTTCTCCTAAATGAGCATACTCATTACTATCCGATGATTAGATTTATTCTGTATTAAAGCAGACTTAAAATAATATCCTTAAAAGAGACATGAACATTTCATATTGTTAGAGCTGAATTTTAAATTTATTTGTACTCATATATCTCAGTTAAAGCAATGTTGTGTGTTTTCTGTTGTTGATTTTTTGTTTTGTTTTGCCTTTGCTGGCCTTTATGGACATCCATTGTGTTATCACATCTTTGGTATTGTCTTCTATCATCAATTGTATCTTTCCTCTACTCTGACAGATAAATATTAGGATTACCAGTTTACCAATGAGAAAACTGAGGCTAGAGCTTAAGTGAATTTCCTAAAGCCAGATAGAGTGAGAATTTGAATTCAAGTCAACTTGACTCTAAAATGATCATAATTGCTACTAATTTTTTCCTTTCATTCTCTATTCTCTTTCTTTCAGAGGATTATATTCGTTATGCCCACGGTCTGATCTCTGATTACATCCCTAGAGAATTAAGTGATGACCTGTCTAAATATTTAAAGTAAGTGCCCTTCACCTTTCAGCTCCCTGTGCTGCCTGGTGTCCCCAGCAGTGGGCTTTCTTGGTGGCCCTTTATGCCACTGCTGTGAGGAAAGATAACTCTTGAGCTGCGCAATGTTTTCTATGGACTGGAAGTGAGTTTTAGTGGACTTTGGTTGGGATGAATTGATTTGGTGGAAACTATAGCAACTACTGAGTTAGAATGGGAATTATAACTTTGTATGATTAGAGAATAAAGTGTGTTAAAATCCTAATGAGACTTAACTAACTTGGTGCTTTCTGATCATCTTAAGAGAAAGATGGGAGATACATTTGAAGGACAGATGGAAGTATTTTTGAAAATTATATCTTTTTTTTAAATTTTTATTGTTTTATTATTCATATGTGCATACAATGCTTGGGTCATTTCTCCCCGCTGAAAATTATATCTAAAAGTTCCATACTCTTTTCACTACTGTCACCAGATGTTCACCAACCACCTTTATGAGGCCAAGTACTCGAAACTCAAAGTCATACGAAAATCTCTGTCCCTGAGAGATAAAAGAATGGTTTCAAAAATGACTTGATTTGTATTTCTTCCTTTATAAAACCTTTAATAATATAGACTTTGCTTTTCATGAAGAAATGTCTATTTTCAAGATTTTAGCAATTGTCAAGACTGTGTGTGATGATTTAATAGCTTTTCCTGGCCCTCATTAAATCCTTTCTCTTCTTTAATCCATAACAGATACAGTTTTATTTTTAGCAAATTTCATAGGTCCTACTTTTCAAAACAGCTCATGGAAACTGGTTTCTATAGGCAAAGTATGTTGGAAGCTTGTTTTAAATCAATAACCATTCTTTTGTTTTATATTTCCCTAGATTTCTTAGACTTTGTACTTAGTCTTTGTATTCCATTATTTGTTTAGATCCTTTTCTTTCTACTAGAATTTTTAAGTTTGGGTTAAAGATTTTTGGAAAAGAAATAATGCCAATTAAACTTCTCTTTAATGGAACAAGGTAAAATTCATGACTTTTCTCAACAGTTACAATAATTTCCACATTTAAAGAAATGCCAGCATCATCATTTCTAGAGAAAAAACACTCCAATGCCAGAACACAAATTCTTGGGGGCTAAAGAAAAGCAACCCCATTGCAACAAATGAATTCTAATTTTATTTTTTAGTTTAGATAATTCCCATATTAGTAGTTTGGTAACAAAATAAAGGTTCATCTTAGAGAAGTTTCATTCTTAACTCTGAGGCAAGAAGGAAGATATATGGAGGTAAAGCTATTGGAAAAGTGGGACTCATACGTCTTACATAGGCCCACTCTATTTGCTTATCTATGAAAACCATGACTGTGATTCTTAACTTTTAACTTCCTTAGGCTTCCAGAACCTGCAGCGTCACTGCCAAATCCTCCATCAAAGGTAAGAAACTGTGACCAAGATATCTTTGGGGACTTAGAAAAATATGCTTTTTACCACATGAGATTAGCTTGTCCTAGTATATTTTAAAGCATGCAAAATCCATCTTGCACGGAGTGATGCAATGTGGAATGTAAACTGTACTGGGCTCTCCATCAATATTTCTTATTTTTGTAGATTTTACCTTAATGATGAATACGTAGTTGGTTTTAGCAAGACAGACACCTGCAAAAATATTACATCCTTTAGATGATTTTTTTTAAGATAGGCCAAGACTTGCGATCGTCTGCCTCTGCCTCTTAAGTGGGGCGGATTATATGCACCACCATGCTCAGCTGAAATCTTCTTGAGTTAGATTACTTAAATAATTTTATTAATCACCCAGACTACTCTCTGTAGAACTGAAACTCACTGGCATGAAAGTGCACAGAGCATGATTTTTGTAACATAAAGAATCCTTTGAAAAATGATGACCACATATTTTTCTGAATTTGAAATGAATAATAAATCTGGGTAGTTGTCATTTGTTAGTGGGAATCCTTTCCTCTTCCATACATTCTCAAACTGTTACCTGTGGCTTCTCTATAGCTTGTGTTTACTTCCCAGATCCAGAGACTAGAGAATAGAAAAGCCAGTCTAGGCCAGATCTCAGATGAGAAAGTGCTGTTCCTAGACAGGTGGACACACGAGAGTGTTAAACAACTTTCGTTTTTCCTTACATTCATTCCTTGGTCTTCGAGGAGGCTAACAAGCTTCAGGACTTTTTTATATTAGGTCCTGTCAGGTGGCAGTTCAAAAACATGACTTTGAATGTTACTTAAAAGTTGAACTAGCATTGGTGTTAGTTTGGGGCCATGTCCAGTAGATTGTCAAAGCAGGTGCATCTTTTACTCTTTTGAAGAATAGCACTGAGCAGAAGTCAGTTGCTGTAGGATCTTAAAAAGTGCATTCTAATCCAGACACATGACTTCTTCCAGTCCAGGAGCTAATCTACAATAGTAACTCCAGGGGACAGAGAGAGAAATAATAATTGTCTCACTATAATTAAAAGAGTAGATGTTCTGAAAGTGCTTATTTCTCTCCCTCAAAAAATTAAATGTATTTCTTTCTTCTAAAAAACCTATCTTCTTCGGTGACTTAGAGATCATGCACAAATTGATCTAAACTTATTCTTGGATGTTTTAGCCTTTGATACCTTCTAGAGTAATGCATCTCATAAGTTAATTTTTCTCCATTCCAGTTTTCTTATTTTAATTTCCAAACTTTATGTCATTTGTGGCTTCATTGTTTATGAGTTAGATCTAGGGTCAGCAAATTCTCTGTAAAGTCCAGATAGTAAGTATTTTAGGCTTCCTGGAGCACAGTCTCGTAATGAGGAGACAGTCACAGACAATATATAAATGATTTAGCATGGCCGTGTTCCAATAAATTTCATTTATTAAATCCAAGGCCAGATGTATTTGGCTCATGGGCATTGTTTGCCAAACTCTGATTCACATTTCAGTATCTTGTTGCTTCTGACCCTGAGCCTCATCTCCTGGATTATGCTAGTTGTTTTTCAGGGTCTCCATTTCTGTGTGTCTTCCTGGGATTCTGGTGTACACAGAACACCTTGTACTGGATAATGTACTGTAGTTTAAACAAGTGTACTTTTATTTCTTCTACTGGTTTTCCAGTGCATACCCAGGATTTGATTGATTTTTACAGCAATATACTTGATTGTTTTCAGGAAATACCTTCCAGCAGCCATCAGGAGTCCTTGCCTCTAGCTGAAATGGCTCACACAGACCCTGTCATCCTTACGTGTTTCGTACCACTTTCTCTTACCATCACATGTCTCTATGCTGAAGCTCAGCTTCTCCCTCACTCTCCCTTAGGTCTTTTGAATTTGTGACTGTTAGCTAGGGAAGCTGGATGCAACCAGGTGTTTGGAGATGTTCCTGTGTTCTGTCTTGCAAACTGTTTGTAAGAGTGATAAAGAGCAGGCCTGACATTAATCCCTGCGGTACCCTGTTTTTCCCTGTTGCTGTCTTTCCAGAACCATGCCCCTTTAGTCTTGTCATTTGTACTGTCTTTCTGAGCCACTCATCTGTTTCTGCTGAAACATTCTTCCAAACCATAGTGAGTTAGTCTCATAAATAACAAGGTATCAGTAAATATTACAACCCTACTTTTTCCAGTATTTTCAACAACATGTCAGGAATAACCTGAAAACTCCAACTATGGGCAGAAGGTGCAACAATCATTTTCTTTCTTTTAATAAGCATTTGTGATTGGTGTCTTCTTTGAAAGTGAGCTATTAAAATATCCACCTGACCACGTCATTCCACTTACTAAACATGTCATATTCATACTTTGTCTTAAGCTCTAGCCATGAACATTTTCTAATTTGAATGATCAGGAAAGTGAATAATGTCCAAGTGTTTATAATGACATCTGTGTTGGAAACATTTAGTCATAGAGAAGGAACACAGATATCCTTATGACTTTACACTCTTTGAGTAAAGAAACAATTACAGTCTTTAGCATTATGAGCTGTGAGTTCTACTCTATTGGCTGAAGGTAACTTTCTGGTGAAAATATGCATCCCCACCCACCCTTTGCTGTCTTTATTTAAATATGAAGTATTCTTAAGAAAATTACATGCATCCATTCACTTGCTGGTCAGTCATTCGTTTAGGAAAAGTCTTTTGCTTTTCATGATTAATTTACTAGAGGTCGCTGTGTGGCCAAGAGAATCCCCAGGATATCATTCTGTTTTTTTTTTTATAACAAGCAATTTTTAGAATTTCATACAGTTTTATCTTCTTATATCTTGGGGGCTGTGGCATCTTTTATCACCAACTCCATCACTTCTTTGTTTCGCAAAGGCAGGGAATGAAGAAGGAAACTGGGAACAGATCTGTATTTTCTAGGGGAGAGCCATGTTGACTCTTACATACCTGGTGTCTCCAGAAAGAACTTGAAGATCTGTAAAAATCTAAGCTAAATCTCCATGTAGTCATTCCTCTTTGTCAAATAAGATTCATTTGCCCTGCTTTGTAGCTTTTCCATGAAGAGTGCATTGCCCCTTCTTCTATATTATGATCATTAAGGCCACATTCCAGCCCTTGATAGGATTCTCATACATGCTTTGATGCAAACTGCTCTTGTGAAAGGTGAAAATATGCATAAAGATTCCAGTTAGCTGCCTCAAACATAATGGAAAGGGTATCTATATAAAAATTGAGATCTCACCCCATGTTCTCTGCCTTGTGACCTTAGCTAGTTCTTCATTTACTCCCCTCTCCTATTGGCTGCTTGCTGTGTGAGGTCATTCTTGTGGAGATAAGAAAATGAAGGAGATAAGAGTATACAGCTATGCAAAGATAGTAATAATAGATGATGATGCCCCATATTCATCATGGGCAGTAAACCAGCCCAGAAGGTGAGTGAAGTGGGATTGCAGCTGTACACCTGGCCCCTTCATCTTTGATGGCTGTGCTTTGCATTTAGTCCTTGACTGTCCTGAAGTCTGCAGCCACCTTGATGCCCACTGTAGCGGTTATATACAAAGTGGGTTTATATTATTGAGGGGCTTTTTCTTCAAAGTAGTGTGTGACGTGGTCCCCTAGACACTTGTCAAAATGGAAAGGAGTTTGAAGGTAAACATATTGCCAGGTCCCTGCTCCATTTGACCTCTGTGTGGGTGCAAATTGCACACTTGGTTGGTTTTAATGGATTGGTGTAAGTGGCAGGGTAATATTTGACACTGCTTCACTGCTCTAACATTGCAGAAACTAAAGTTATCAAATGAGCCTGTAGAAGCAAAAGAAGATTACACTAAGTTTAACTCTAAAGATTTGAAGACTGAAAAGGTATGTGTGTCCAGGTGTAGTGGTGTAGTGTACAATCCTTAGTGGGTGGTACAGGTATCATTCAAAACTGTTCATGACAATGGAAGTGTTCAGGCATTGAGACATTGTACAAATCAAAGAAACACATGCTTAGCAAGAGTGTGCCTAAGCTTTGCCTTGTGTTCAGAGTGATGGGTTGGAGGTGAAGGTGCCACTACAGTAATTTTTTTTTGTCAACTCTCCTGCCCAGAGGCTTCCCAGAAACTATGGTGATAGCAAAAATCACTAATAACTCCACTATTCACCATTTAACCTGCAAATGTTAGTTTGGTAACATTTCTTATTCTTACCGAGTTTTATCTTATATAAGCATAAGTTTCATCTTACATAAGTAACATGAAGCTTTTTAATTGGTATTATAACTTACATGGCTTTTGGTTCTTCCCTTTAGCATTATATTACAAAAATGTTCACATTCCACATTCTTTTAGATATTGATCATGGTTTCATGGTATCCAATCATGGGTCTTGTATTCTTGACCACATTGAGTATCATTTTTATTCTTGGAAACCTTTGCCTATCAAATCAGGCTACATTTCTTTAACTAAAAAGGTTTGTTTTTTCCAGTTGCTCAGTGCCAGTTTTCTTTTTGCATATTGTCAGTTGTGTCCCTTGTTTGTGTTTATGTTGGGCTAGTAGTGATTTTCTGTTGGTTTGTAAGAACTTATCCTAAATTAAGGCCATGACATATATAGGGTACCAATAATTTTCTGGTGTGTTTTTAGCCTTTTCATTTGATTTTTTTAACATTTTTAATTTTTTTCTGAGGTTAAGTGTAGAAATTGTTTTCCTTTATGATTCTTCCATTGTTTTTATGCTTAGAAAGGCCTTGCTCACTCAAGATAACCTAACTTCCACTTAGATTGAACAATGTGTTCCCCATAGAATTTGTTTTTATAAATTTTATTCTTTTGTCTATGCACATATATCAGAGAATTACTCAATTTAGGATTTATCTCAATATGTGGCTATCTCAATGCTCTATGCAAAAAGAGACATTTTGAATTCCACAGAGAAATCTTTCTGCTCTACCTTCAGTGGAAATGCTGCTTCTCAGTGTTTCCACTTGGCCATATCACCAGTGAGAGAAGAGGATTGAACCAGATGGCAGTTAAATGCAGGGACAACTTGTCTGAAAGAGACTGTCACTTTTCACCATCCAGCCAAAAATTAAGCCTACCAAGTTACAAGTGGCAGAAAGTGAGAAGCAAGATTTCAAAATCATATATTGTGCCCTTAAAAGATATTTGGGTAATGAACTTGTCTGATAGTTCCTTTGGAGACAGATTTCTTTTTCTTTGTGAATTCCCATCTTGATTCTTCTGAACAAGTTGTGATGCATCAAAGTAAAATCAGCTGCTACTTACCATCTTCTAGAGTGTTTGATGGGACATAGAAAGAAATACAGTGACTAGACAGAGGTAGAAATTTATAGAGCAGAGGTTTCTGGAAAGCATTTCTTTGCTAGAGAAAACATGGGCAGCTATCCTGCTGGCTTGGGATGCCTAGCCATACAGGTTATCTTTTGAATGTGATAGGGTTGCCCTTGGTTCCCCATAGGGTGAATAAATAAAATCATGGTAAATTGGTATGAATTATTCATCATGTAGTAAGACAAGGCTGTAATTCCTCTCCTGACAGTTGCCACCATGTCAGTCCCATTGTTTGTGTTATTACACTTAATGCACCCTCCAGAATTCCCCCATAATTAACCAACAGTGGTAGTATTCTACTCCTTACAGGCGACAGTTTTGTCTCAATGTATTTTCTCTCTGAAGTCTGTGTTCTGAATCAGTACCAGAACTTTCTTCCCTCCTGTATGAAACATGTTAGCAGCAGACTCTTAATCTCCCTGAATAACCGTGAGGCATGCACAGTCTTCTGTGACTTGCATGCATGGTTTACAAAGGTTACATTTGTAATAAGTTTTCTCTTATTTTTCATTAACAGAAAAATAGCAAAATGACTGCAGCTCAGAAGGCTTTGGCTAAAGTTGACAAGAGTGGAATGAAAAGTATTGAAGCCTTTTTTGGTGCAAAAAGTAAAAAAAAGAAATGAAAAGATTTGCAAATAAAGTCTAATAAAGCAAAAAGAAAAAAAGCAATTTTCAGATTCCCTTCAACTTTTCTTTGGATTTGATTTTTGTGTTTCTGAACGAAATATGGGAAAGTAATTGGGTAACTTTGTGGTCTTGATTTTTGGAGTCTTTGTCATAATGAAAAGTAATCAAATGAATAGAATTAACACGTAATCACAGTTTCCTCAGTATACTGACCTGTGACATTTGACTGTATTGCCTGCTAGTTTGTGCAGCTTTGCCACATAGTAGCTTTAGCAATATGATTTTCAGTGTACTTAAAAAGTTTAACAAAATTGTGAGGTTTTGGTAAATCTTATATTTAGTGTTTTTTTGTTTTTTTTTTTTTGCTTTTATGAGTACTTTTAAAAAAAAAAAAAAAGAATGAAACAAAAACTATAGTCTCTCACCTTTTCATTACCCAGAGATAACTCAGTGCGTTTTCTTATAATAAAAATATTTTAAGGAATTATAACACCAGTTTTATGACCTTCTTTTTTTCGAATATCATTTTGTAAGCACTTTTCAGAACTACTAGGTTTTGCTTAATAAATACGCTTTCTCTGGGGCTGGCGGCTCAGTAGTGGAATGTTTGCCTAGCATGCTCAAGGCCTTGGGTTCGATCTCTGGTACCACCAAAATTAATAATTAGTTAAAAATAATTAATTAAAATAAGTAAATGTTCTTTATGACAAATTAATTTCCAATTGTTTGGATATTTGATTATTTAGTAACCATGTCTCCATTTCAACATTGAGATTATTTACAAATGTTCAGTGTTTGGAGAATCAGATTATATGTAAATATATGTCCCTATCTTTTGTTGTTTCCTTAGAACAGATTTTTAGATGTGGTTTACTGGTTCCAAAATACGTCTTTCACAAGCTGGGCATGGTGGCACATCTGTAGTCCCAGCTATACTGAGACAGAGAAAAAGGGATCATGGTCCAAGGCTGGCACAGACAAAAACAGGAGACCACCCTACCTGAGAAATAAACTAAAGCCAGAAAGATGGGGTGTGGTTCATAAAGTTCAAAAGTTTCCTACCAAGGTGTGGAAGACCCTTAAGTTCGAACCCAGGTACTGCCAAACAATAAGTTTTTCATATGAATCAGATTATATGTAAATATATG